TGGTATCCTCTTCACGGTCTACCACACGACGAACATGAACAGGCTGAAGCCTGCAGCTGATTGGATACACGAGTGAGTACTGCAATTCTGTATGTTCCCCGTGTGTCGTCGCGGGTAAGCCGGAGTCGTACCAGGTAGTGGTGCGCGAGGGGTGTCGCTGCACTCAATTGTCTTCCAGGCTGCGGCCTTTCTCGCCCTTCATCGCCATCTCAATGCTGACCTGCTCCTCTCATAGTCTATCTACCTTACGGCTGGCTGATCCCAATCGGTGTCTTCTTCGTCATCTCCTTTCCTCCTTTGTTCGGTCACGAAATTGTAGCCATCCTCTGCGGTCTGGTCTGGGGTCTTGGCCCTGGCTTCGCCATCGTCGCGGCAGGGACCTTCCTCGGTGAACTAGGAAACTTCTAGTGAGTCTCGTGTTGCCTGCCTGTCAAGAAGGCGGACGCTCATATGCAACTCAGTCGTGTTCTTCCTCCCCCTCTTCAAGTGCGTTCAAGTACTGCTGTGCAGCTCGCGGACAGAAGCCCGAGAAGACGCAGCTTCGATACACATGCCTGGCTCGCGTTGTTCGGGATGGAGGCTTCAAGGTTGCGCTGATCGCGCGTCTGAGCGCCATCCCCGGTCACTGTGCGTCCCCATGCTATTGTTTCATTCCCGAATGACGTGTGCTGATCTCAATGTCTGAACTTACCACTGCTGTGTTCTCCACCTGCGGCATGGGCGTCATTACCTTCGTGATCGCTGCCATCCTGTCGCTCCCGAAGCAGTTCACCACCGTCTATCTCGGTGTCGCGCTCGAGCAGTCTGAGAGCGGCACTAGCAGCACGAAGGACACAATCCGGGATGCCATGCTCGGCCTGACAACGCTCATGACCATCGTCGCGATGTGGTATATTGACCACATCGCGACTCAGGCACAGCCGCTCGTCGTATACGTGCGGGTGATCATCAAGGGAAGTGCTGCAAATAATTGATACACGCGTTCTAATACACGTTTGAAGACAGCTGCCACAGACAACGTGCCAATACATACGACAGCACAGTCCAAGAAGCCTCCTGTGTTCACGTTTCGGAGGTGCCCAGCTCCGTGGAGGTCACGTTCTCTCCAAAGCCTGGCGGGTCGGGATGCTTGAGCCAACCGCCTAGACATCTGCCGTGCGTCTCTTTCACTCTCTCGTACCACTCCATGTTGACCCCGAAGTCGTACGGCGCGTACCCAGGTACATCATCAGTGGAACGGCCAGCGTCGCGTATGCGTTCCACCATCATCCGAAGAGACTTGATGGGCACTGACTCATTGAATAGCTCCGATAGGTCCCGGAAAACTTTTGTTAACTAGACACCTAGATGAGTTTGTTATTTTTGTTGTACATCATATGGTGCGTACCTCATCTGATCGCCAGTTAGGTTTGATCACCTCGAAAAAGCTCATTTTGGCCAGCTGAGTATCAGTTTTACCAGTTATTCCGGCGTGTTCAGCCATCTGACGTCGCCATGTTGTTACAGCCTCGTTGTCTGCATCATCCTCAGGGCCGCTGGCTTCGTCGGACATTAAGTCCGGTGTAAGGAGGTCTGACGGATCAACACCGTGGATCTCCATATATCGAGGCACCGCGCTCATAAGCCTGTCGCACTTCTGAAAGTGTGTACTACAGCTGACGAATGATTGACTTGCCACACAGTGAAGGTACGTACTTTGTTGCGCCGGTTTTGCCATCGAGACGCTTGTTCATTCTTCTTCTGTCGGCTGGCTTTTTCTTGATCCATTTGCGCCTTGTACATCGTCCGGAAGCCACGAAAACTTGTCTTCACCAATTCGCGCAATACTGCATACGTCAATTTGACGTTGAGTGCATTCATCCACGTCGCGTGGACAGAAGAATGGGCCTCGGTGAGCGGTTTTGTCAGGACATCTTGCGCTACCTGGTAAATGCGACTAACATACCTTGAGCTCTTGCATAGATACTTCGGCAACCCTGACGATTAGGTCTGGGTTGTCGGACTCATTAACCTGGGCCTCGAAATTGACAGACATCCCAGGCATTTGTTCCCCCCACTTTGGCCACTTGTCGTTTTTGCTGACACCAGTAACCAGGCGAAACTGTCTGGCCACGACACTCTGCAATCGATATGCCTATGTGAGTACAGACGGACTTGGCTGTTTAATCTGCTAAACAGGTCGCTCACTGCCATGACTCGTCGTACCTTCTGTTGCACCAGATCGAGGTCCTTCATCCTCTTGCTAACCAGATCAAGAGGATCGGAGTTGTCTTTCTCCGCCAGTGGGTCTGGCGCATAGGGCGCATCATCCAACTCATTATTCTCCACAGCGATGTTACGGCCGGGGTTGCGACGTGTTAGGCCGCCGCGAGCAGCATAGATCGGGTTGCGGTGACCACGTGCAAGGCTGGTGGCCGCCGAGGTGCCTTGTACGTTTGTTTCGAGTTCCTGATGGTCATCAAGCAGCTGGGGATCAATCATTGGGTTGTTCGAGCTTGATACAGGTATATATTGTCCACTCTGCGATAGACGTCGACGCCGTGGACCATTGGAACTGCATATCGGGTGAGTATATGCGTCGAAACATTGTCTTAATTTTTCTCTTAAACTAACGGAGATGTTTCTGGTGTCCGTGGGGTATCGCGGCTGTCGCGCCGTGGGCT